TGGCTCACGGCCGCCCTTCTCTAGTTACCCGAAAGAAACGAACGTGCGGAGTGCCCTTTAAAACTCTGTAGGGGTTAAATTGTTGCCAGTGATTTTTAAACGCCAGAGTCTTGTCTCTTACTCCCGTCTTCAGTAATGCTTGTAATATTTCCTGCCTGATGGCACGGTGAAGAACTTAATCATAATTTCATAGTGACATCTACTGAGAAAAAAATTTCACCTCCATTTCTTTGAGTTTCTTGATGCTGTTTTTTCTTCGGTTTTCTAAAAAGCAGACAGGTGCTGGATGTTCTAGCTTTTCTTTTTTATTATTATTTGCTTTTTCTGTAGACTGTTTCTGAGCTCCTGTTGTCGATGCAGACGCTAAAGATACCACCAGCTGGTTTTGCATGAAAACTTTGCAAACCTGTGTGTGAGATCAGTAAAAGCAAACTGTCCGTCTTTGCACTGGTTTCCTGAGTGGATGTTGATGCTTTAGCTCAGCAGATTATTTTTTTTTTAATTTCTATACCATAGGCCCAATAGTTGTGCTGGTGGTAGAGCACCTCTATGTATTCAACTCTGAAATCAGTTTATTTCTGGTGGGAATCTTCTTTTGCCACTGGAAGTTATATCTAGGTAGTGTGTCTGTGCAAATACTCCCCTGGGGTGCCGGAATAGCCAAAACTACTGAAGTATCTGCTCTGGCCCCGTTTGACGTCTTTTGTCAGAAACTAATCTGTAGCAGGTGAAAATGGGATCAGAGAACTCAGAGGAGCCTGAATGATTTTAGGAAGTACCACGTCTTTAGAAAAACTATGTGGAGCTTAATTACAAGCAAAGATAAGGGGTAATGCTGGTGGGTGGACGAGGAGGCCCTGTGATGTGGGTTTGTTGACTGTATCTCTTAGTTACAGGATATTCTAGCTGAGGCTGCCTTTGTACCTCTTAAAGGAGAATCTACTGCTTCGCTGCAAAAGCACATTCCTAGCGGTGGGACAGTTTCTAAAGCTGTGCAAGATGGATTAGTACGCTTGGTTTCTAGGAATATGCACGCTATTATAATAACTCATCAGTTATGTGCAGCATACGCTATGTGGGAACCTTCACTACGCAAATCCTCTGCATGAAATTAAAATAATAATGGAAATTCTTGTTTGTAGTAATTTGTTGTGTGCTTTTGAAATATCAGTTGCTTTCCTCTTATTTATTCATTTTATTTATTAACTTTTATTGTAGCCGCTAATGCAGTTTAAAATTGTAGGGGGAAAAAAAGATGGCAGAAGATAGAGGAAGAGAGCGTGTGTGAGAGAGATGAGAGAGAGACTGATATTCAGATTAATTTTCTTGGCACTGTCCTTGTAAATCTGTTTTGCATGTAGTTAAGGAAATGAGCTTATTACTTCAGATAAGATTAGCTTCCAAAATAGTGTAATAATAAGCTTCTGTTGCCTCACAAGGAGAGATTTTCACTGCTGAACTGGAAATAGTGCCTGAGTTAAAAGAAATGTCTCTGTGAGCAGCTGGCCTGGGGAAACACGGGTCAGTCAGCCAAAGCGCTGCCCAGGCCCAGCCGAGTTTCATCCTGAATAGCCTGGACAGGTGCAGAAGTGGCGTCTTCTCTGCCAAGAGCAGTTGGCCTCTGTTTTTAATTTACCAATGCTCAGCTTTTGTTTTATTGTTCCAGGTGTTATCTCCAGTGTGATTCTGCAGCTTCAGGCTTACGTAACTTCCTATGTTAAAAAAAAATTAATCTAATACGGAGTACAGTTTTCAAAAATAATAAACTGGATTTATTGTTCTAGGACACTGATTCTCAACTGACCAGGAACATGCACTGAAGTAAGGAGTAACATTGTACTTGAACACCTGGAAAAGGTTTCAGCTGGAACATAGAGCCTTAAACTTTAGAGCGTAAGCCTGAATCGTACAAGAACTTACCAAGTGAGATGCATCTTAGTGAAAATCCTCACTTGCATATGCATTAGCAGCGTCAACCTTTTTAATGTCTCTTTCGCCATATAGTAGACGCTTGTTTGAGACTGTAACAGTCTTGGAGGCTGAATGGTTTTTTTTTTTTTGTTCCCTTTATTGATCCCTGCAAAAACCTGAATGTCAGGCGAAGGTCAGGTTAACTACTTATGAGACAAAATTTTGTTACTGTAGGATATTGGAACAGCAAATGTATAAATTGTGTAAATTCATTCAGGACTTAATTTTGAAAATAACTTACAGTGCTTAACATGAGCACAAATTCTGTGTGTAAAACCCTTATAGAACCCACTCTCTTTTTCCCCATCACTTTTGTGGTATAATAATACAAACTCTGCTGAAATCATGTCTGTCTCATCAAAAGTATGTTGCCCCCCCCACACACACTAAAAAAGGTCAAATTTTAAGTCAGATGTGATCGATGGTAATTAAACTAGGGCGCTCTCCACCTGTTGCCATCCTAGAAAATCTGTGATTTGAACAAAGAATTAAGATCTTGCATCCTCTACTGGAGACACTTTTAACTTTTTTAATATATATTTTTTGTAAGGGTGATATGCTCCTTTTGTAATTACGGTTTGAGTTTCAGTCATCGGAGCCATCAAGGTGGTAGGTTTAATTTCTTGGAAACCTTGTCTTCCACACAGATTCTCTGTTGACTTTCCATTGTTTTTGCTCTACTGAAATTATAGTATTTCTTTCGAGGCTTGACAACACTGGACCTTTTTATGAATGGCTCCCAAAAATGTCCCTAGGAAATTGGGAGATTTCACTTCTGTTCCTAAATATGTCATTCCATAGCATATATTTTACTTACCTATCTCTGATAGTAAGAAGCTGTATTTATAAATTGTTTCACAGACCTTTGCTTGTTTAAAAAAAGCCAACAACAAAACCTCACAGTTTTAGATGCAGGTATGAATGTACCAAACAGATGTAGCAGAGGTTGAATGGCCGGAGAAATTGAGATTAGGCAAGAAGGACAATTTCACAAGTTGTGAAGCATTATTTCGTGTCAGGTGAGATGTATTGCAGCATGTTATGTACCCTGAATTCAACCAATTTTTGTTATCTACATTAAATCTATGGAATCTTGTTTTGCTTATGATGTGTTGTAGATAACTTATTTTATAAGCATCCTACTTCTTTTGAAGTGGAAGGGACTGGGGAGAAACTTTGTTATGCGTAAGTTACTGGTGGAATACAGTTTGTTTTTATTTATGTTTTGATAACCAAACATATCTGAAGTTTCTGGTGTCAAAATAGATTTGGTGGAAGTATGCATATACTGTGGTAGTGTTTGCTTCCCTCATCTTGGCTGTGCAGTAGCTTTTTCCATCTGTTTTTCATCCTGTGAAAAGTGAGGGGACACTTGCTGTGTGCAAGCCGCTTATCACGTTAGGACCGAAGTTAAAGCTAGCAGTCATGTGAGCGGGGTAGATTAGGGTCTGCTTAATGGCAACGGTAAAGCTACTTCTAAACTATAAAGGTCTGTTTGCTTTGGCGTGAGTTAAGTATGTTGTGTAGCTTAAAGGGGTATTGTTGGGTTAAAAACCCTTGTTTGAAAATTAATCTAATGTTATGTTTGTAACCTTATTTCTTTTTCACCTAAAAGGAAAAAATAAATGCAACTTTAGCACAAGAAGAGATGGTATAAAGCAAAGAGATCAAAGTGGCCACGTGGTGTGGAAACTAGTTTTCATGGGACTGAAGATAAGGGGTGGGGAGAATAGAAAAGCTATTCAGGAAGCTTTCAAGAGATGATTGGGTGTTGAAGAAGTCAGAGGAACGACCTGAAGCTTTTCTTCATGGCGGCATGAGATGTCATGGGAAAGGCTGCGGTGTCCTGGAGAGAACGAGGGTGTGAGGTGTCTGGGGAGTGCCAGGAAATTGATAGGAAGGAAGATGAGGGGCAGTTAAGTCTGAACAAACATACCTGGGAAATGACTGTTAACTCTAATAGAGTGGCTTTCAGCGGAATAGCAAAGGGGAAAATTAGACTGGAGGTGAAGGGAGGAAATGAAGCATGGTTTTTGTTTGAAGTAATAATTTGTAGCCTTGGACCACAGGCGTCAGCACTGATCATATATTGTGCCTCTGACAAAATCATATGTTGTTCCTCTTTTGGCCTCGGTTTGAGATACTTTGTTCTTGTCCAAATTAGAGAATGCAAAGAAGTAGGTAATAATGGAGAGCAACTTCAGCAATGTTTTACCTGCAAGCCAAGCTTTGGGATTACTGATGGGTTTTTGGAAACAGGTTGAGTGTATAGAAAGAGGAGAGAAGGGGGGGAAAACCTAACAGGAAAGCAAAAAGCCAGTAAGAATCTTTCTTTGTAAGCAGACAAAAGGGATGTGAGAACATGATTTGTGGAGGGTGAGGAAAGGGAAAGCAAAGATGCAATAGTGGGTGACTAAACTAAAGGAGATGAAGCTAGCTTGAATTTAGAGGATGGTATGCATTTTTGAGCATGTGGGTCAAGGAGGATGAAAAATAGAATGGGAGTAGCCGGCAAAATAAATTTGGGGAGCGAGGGGAAGAATCTAGTGGGACACGATGAGTTCAGTGAATAGTAGTGTGCTAAGCTTTGGAAGAGAAAAATGGAAAAAATGGGAGGGGGAGGGGGGGGGAGAATTCTTTTAATATCAGGGGTTGGAGGTAGAAGTAGTGATAAATATAGGTCAGTTTTATAGTTCCTGGCAGATAGTAAACATAGGCTGGAGTGAAAGATGTCTGCAAAGGATGGACTATTTTTGGAAAAGATGAGGAAAGAGGAAAAGCAATATGGACACCCAAGAGCATAAGAGAGCAATGAATACAGAAGAACCAAAACACCCAACCAACCTGTGAGAGGGGAAGAAAAGTGGAAGACGTGAGAGTTTGTGAGGAACAGGAGATTGCCCAGTTGGTTCTTTATTCAAATTCTTTATTTTAATAGGACCCATCTGGGATGTTTTACAAATTTCAGAGCCATTTTACATAGCTTGGAATAAACCCTGATGACTTTCTATGTGAAATATGTCTTTTTCAGGGATCCTTTTGCTGCACACCATGAATATATGCGGCAGATGATGAGAAGTTTTTCTGATCCTTTTGGACGAGATCCCTTTCTCAGTATAACAGATGGTGGGGAGAGAACAGTAGATCGAAGAGCACGCCAGGACTCTCAGGTTGCTCTAAGAGGAAATCGCAGAGTAAGTATTTTCTTAATCTCTAAGGATTGCTACATGGAATTTACATTTACTGGTAGTATAGTTGGCTTCACATTTCCGTTTCTGTTAAATTTGGTCCAGTGGAAACAGAGGCCTGGCTCAGCTATTGCAACCTTGGTCAGATTGTTTCATTGCTGAGTAAAATGTGGATAACATCTCTCTTTGTTCCTTAATGACCTATTGCTCAATGCTGACAAACTTCTGTTAGGACTAATAACAAGTCTGTATGCTATTGAACCTTGACTATACAATATTTAATGAAACAAACTAAACATATTTATCAAATGTTTGGTTTAATAAATATTATGTATTAAGTGTTTCTATTACAGAAAGACATTAAAAATGTCCCATGACAGAGCCTTCTGTAAATGCTTATTTCCTTTTTATGCTAACTTTACTTAAAAAGGTACCTTGAAATGTTTATGCCTTCACTCTGCATTTTAGTATCTTGTGTCTAGTTTTTTATGTTAGTTTGATTTAACACAAACCTATGTTTTAACCACCTAAATAGTATCTACGCAGAGATTTTTCAACTTTGCAACTGAGAACAAAGGCTTTGCGTTCTGTATTTGGTCTGATTCTTAATGTTTCCTCTAGCTACAACAATATAAAAATTAAAGATCAGGGAAATTGATATGAAACCTGGTATTTCTGAAACTGAGAAGCTGGCAATGATCTATGTTTTATAGGAAGTATCTCTTTAAACGCTCTGGGCATGCAGGACAATTATATCTAGCTTCTGTAGCTAAGCTTTGTCTAATTGCTGTATTTAGAAAGGATATATGTTTGAAGTTGGTTCCTCTCGCTCCACCAGACTAAATATTTTGCACCTGAATGATCTCTTACTATAATGAATCACATTTGATTTTAAAAAACAGTTGGAAGACAAAACAGATTACAAGGGCTTGTGGAACTCAGCCAGGTTTGGTGGGGGTTGTTCAAACCTAGATAGTTAGAGCTTAATAAACAAAGCTGAAGCACGGACTGTCACCTACAAGTCAAAAGGGTAACTGTCAGATTCTTTCCTCCCTGCTCATACATTGCTGGTTAGCTTCAAATATAGATGTTGCTGTATCTAATTAGGGCGTGATCTTTCCTCTACCAAAGCAGATTCTTAAGCTTTGGTTCAGAAGATGCGTATAAACAGATCAAACTTTTTTCCTTTAGAAAAAGAATGTTAAACCTTACCCTAATATTTTGCGGGGTTTGTATCCATTGTTCTTGGCATTGAGGGATAAATGTGAGGCATAGAAAACCTTTATCTGTGGGTACAGAAAGGAGTTAAAGGTGCAAGAGCGCTGTGTTATTTTGATAAGCACAAAAGAATTCCACACCTGCTAAAATCTTTCCACTATCTTTTAATCTTCCTCATGTTTCACCTAAGAGTTGTCAGATGTCACAGGAGACTCAACACTTATTTTTTGAGCCTTGTTGTAGTCTCAAACTGCTTTTACAGGTTTCCTCCCAGAAATTATTCAAACACTTAAAATAATTAGATTTTTATGTAGGAAAAGATGGATATCTTTACTGCCATGTAAAATACACTTTGTTAAAATTACCCCTGCTGATTACTGATACTGTAATTCTACATTTAAGTAAACTATAGCATGCCGAAAACTGCTCTATAAGGAACAGAATTTGTTGCAACACCTCAATGTGCATCAATATTGCATTCAAATTTGAAAATGCTTTCCTTTCTCAAACAGTGTCAGTTTTTAGCCATTTGGAGGGGGGGAAGGGGGAAAGGATATGAGGAGGAGGAATGGGGTAAAACATCTGAAGAGATACTGTCATTCAGTTTTGTTTGGATATTTGATCGTCATATATATTAGGCAACTATTAACAGCTTTTATAGTATGTATTCCAAAATAGAGTTTATAAACTTTTTATGACTAACAACTTTATTTTTTCCAAGGATATCCTTTTGCATTTGGTATATTCTTTTCTGCCACTACATGTTAGACAAAACTGCAGAGTTCATAAAGGTGTTCAAGAATTGGATAATTCCTTCCTTTTGTACTTGGAGTTATTGTAAAGTGTTTGGTACTTCTGCCTAACCAGTCTTTTCTTTAGGTAGGCTTTTATATAACTCTCCAGTCTCAGTTTCCTGGAAACGTTGATGTGTTTTCCAGCATCTCATTGCCCTGTCATATAGGGGTATTCAATTTCAGTTGGTCAAACAGGAACTGTATTTGCTGGTGTTTATAGCTATGTCTATTTATACAACTGCAGAAGAATATAATTTACTCATGGGGGATTTGTCTTCATGTGGTTCTGTATATGATGATAGATTTACCTAGAACTTCTTTGCAATGACCTTTGAAACTTCTGACAAGTTAGACTTCATTTTGTTTATCAAAAGGGATGTATGGATATTTTACAGAAATATCTTTTTATATTTGTGGTAATCTCTTGTAATAAATAAAGACTGCTTGTGAACAGGTCAGCCACATCACTTAATTTTTTAAGCTCTAAAATTGTATGCCAGCCTTCTGAAACTTAATTACATAAATTTACATTAAAGGAACTATTGACTTGTTGATTTTAATCAACTTTCAATGAGGGGGTTCTGTTGCATGAATAGAATGAAGTGCTTTCAGAGAAGTGGGTGATGTTTGAAGCACTGTGCCACGTTTTAAATAACTTTAGTACAAAGGTCGCTATGGTATACAAATGTTTCTCAACTTCTAGTGCTTCTAACACATACATGTGAATGACTTAAGTGTGGTGACAGCTATCACTTTCCAATATCATTAGTATAAATATATTACTTCTATATAGCCAGAGATGACTACATATTATATTGTTGTAGCACGCTATAAATTACCAAGGTCCACTTGAGTGACTGTTTTTATTTGATCAGAAATGTTTAATATCACCTGCTGTATATGAAAGTTACTTCTGCTGTGTCTGATAACAGGTATAATAACTAAATGATGCTGGTCCTTTTTCTTCCAGGCAACAAGCTGCTCCCTCATGCTCTTTGCAGGCTTTGGTAGAGGGGTTAGTATCCCAGGAGCAATAATCCTTGTAGCTCTTGCTAGTATGTGCATACGGTCTGTATAACTAAAGCATGGACAAAGGCTAGTCTCAGTGCGCCTGCAAACTGCTTTTGTTGGTGTTTAGATACGTGGAACAATATAATTCAAAAAAGATTTTTTTTAATTATATTTTTTTTCCTTATTAAATGAAAATGCTGGGGTAGGTTAAATACACTGATACCAAGTTGGAAGAGTTACTACTTAGCAGCTGGCTTTGCTACTCAGCGATGTATCTGTTGGTGCTTGATCTCTGATGGATATGAATGAAATAATCCGTGGAGAGAGACTCCAAGCTTGGAGTGCTGCTTGTAGATGGATGCTAGTGGCTTGGAGTGTGTTTGCGTCCGTGATACCTATGAGACCTGTAGTACTGGTCACAGCTAGACAGGCCAGCTTCTGGAGACAGAATTTGCACTGGAACTGGGCTTGGAATCATTTTCAGCTGTGGCTTGTTGGGGGTCCGGAATACCTTGTAAAAGATCTGTAAAAAGTTTATTGTTATGACCCTCGTGGAGCTTTTGGTTCCTTTGGAAGGCTTTAAAGAGTCCTCAGGTTGAGAGCTGGTAGCTTAGAGTGGCTCTCACTTGCAGAGCAGGTAAAAATAAGCATGGGTCTTTGAATTTTCAGTTCTAAAAGTATTACTTGTTTAATTATCTCTTCCAGAGGCACAAATTGGCATCTTGCTGTATGCAAAAAGTGTATTAGCTCATCAAAGTTCTTTTGCTATTAACTGCACAGGCTATGGTTTTACTCCCCCTGCCCCAATCTACGGCATGTAATTCCATAGTTACAGCTGATTACTATGTAATGTCATCAGTCAACATCCAGATTTCTAACTGTAGAAGGCAGTTTTCTGGAGTTACTGAAACTTGCAATGATTTGATGTCCTAAATGGTCTGTAATTATTGCCCAGAGGTTTTGGTAGCTCTTAAGGATTCAGATTTCTTGGTACTCAAGAAACAAACTGAAGATTTTCTATACCTGAATTTTACTTATTTTTGTGTGTAAACTGCAGATTTTATTTTTAAACTTTTAAATACATACCTGTTTAAATGGATTTATTTAAATTTAATTCTCTATCTTTCCAGTAGTTGGAGGAATGTGGGGTGTTTGCTATTGTAATTAGCATCCTAGTGTTCCGTAGCACCTTAGTAGTGCAAAGGGCTGCTATGTGGACCCCGGCAGCCTGCCTCTTCCCAAAGCTGCTGGCTTTTGCAGAGCTCTGGGGAGCTGATTTCCCTGCTCTTCTCACGGCCTCATACCTGTGGACCAGAGCGTGGTGGTGGCACAGCAGCTCTCCTGGGATGCCGCGAGGCGTGCGCATGCCTAGAAGCTCACCAACCAACCAGTGTGTGGTGTTCCCTCTTAACTAACGTGCTCCAACCACAGCTGCACGTGTCGGAAACCAGGCAGCCCAGTAGGGAGTTTGAACAGGTCCTGAGGAAAAGTACACAGTAGGAGAGGAAAGGCCTGGCGGAAGTCATCTTTCTCACCACCTGCTGCACTGGAGAGGAGCCCAGAGGAGGATGCTCATTTGGGACAGCATTGCTGCCTTCCCAGATGGCCATTTAGCAGATTTCACCTGTTCCCTACTTTCTGTCTTGCCATCTCTCTATTTTTTTTTGTTTTGTTTTCTTGCAAAGGTAGCTTTTATCAGTATATGCCATCAGCTACAGATCCTATTAATAAAATTCTGTGCATGGCAGCCTGTCTTAATATCTATCCTTTGTGCAACACTGGATCTTCTGCTTTCATGTCAAAATAACAAATGAATGTTTTGTTGAATATGTCTATAGCATTAAGTAATTAACTGCCATTAAAACACCAAGTTACGGTTCTCTGATTTTTCCACACTGGCCTTTTATGAATAATGTACACTACGTCTGCAAAAGAACAGCTCTATCTGCTGGGATGCATGTTCAGTGTGATTCCATATGCATTAAGGGATTTGCATAATAGAGGTAGTTTGATCTTCAATAGATCATAAAGTATGGAGGGTCATATAGTACTTTTTACGGCAGAAGCTAGTTACGTTAGAAGGTATACGGCAATAGTTCTTGTCAACTGGCCACAATATGAGCTTATTTTGGTATTTGTGTGTCAAATCGTTCACTTCTGTCTTTCCAGTATCTTTAACTTAACAATCAGACTCCCCGTGCTAGCTTTTGATTTTTCATTTGAAAAAGTGCATTTTGGCTTGTCTATGTCTGTGAATTGCAGTCTGTGAAGAACTTTTTTGATGGTCTGATTTACATTAAACGTGCATGTAAAAAACCAGCCTCCGGACTTGCAGAGTGAGAAGACTGTTTTAATTTTTGTGTCTCTTCTTTCAGCAGGATGCAGATTTTGGGGAACCCTTTTTTGCAATGGACAGGATGATGTCAAATATGAGAAACAGTATGCTGGAAATGCAAAGAAAATTTGTAAGTTTTTTAAAATGTGTTCTAAAATTAATTGTATTGGCGAATGACAGTTGTTTGAAATATTACTCAAAGTCATGCCAAGAAAAAGGTTAATAGTCTCAAGCAGATAGTAAGAATTTTTCTTATTCCTCAGTCTTTATCATGGTTATAATTCTCTATGCTGTCGCTGATTATTTGCTAACAACAGTGCTTTAAATATGCTTGATTCTCTAGGGGTTAGAGCTGTTGTAAGTTATCTGGTCTCTGGCTGTTGCCAGAGCTGACACGTTAAGTGAAGGAGCAGTTTAAAGTGTTACTGTACACTAAAAAACAACAAAACCACAAATGCCTAAATGCTACCCTGCATATAGACCTTCCTCTGATTTTATTTTCAGTGCTGCTTCTTTCTTCTCAGTCTCTGAAGATAACACTGGTATCTATTAAGTGTTGCTGAGTATATTTACTGTGTTTCGCTGGCCTTGTAAAATGGTTTGTAATCATTGTTGCTTAAGTCCTATTTCACCTGAACTCTTTACACACATTATTACATACTGTATGTGGCAAGACTGATGTTACAGGTTATACCTTCATTACTAAACTATGCCAGGGCAAGCATTTGAGCGGTTGTTATTGCTACCCATGCTTTTTATCTGTTGTCATGTTTCCTGGCATGGGGAGACCTGTGGCCAGACAAGGTTCGGACAAGAGTGAAGGCATATCAAATGCGGAAGTCTTTTCCCAACAGGCCGTATCTATGGTGCCAGGACCGAGAGTTAATTTTTCAGAGCGGTATTCTTTTTCACAATAAGATGGTCTTGGATTGTAATAAGTACCTGTTATCCACAAGCTCTAACTTCTATTAATAAGAAGCCTACATTGCTTGTAGGATGACCTGTCCATCCATCCAGATGCCCACACGTTCAGCTCCTCCTCTGTGATGACATACTCCAAAGTAGGGGATGAACCACCAAAAGTTTTCCAGGCTTCAGCTCAGACACGCACAGCTCCAGGAGGTGTAAGTAGTGCTGAGAGACAGCAAAAAGGTCGTATGGAATTATTGGAATCTAAGTTCGTCTATACTAAACTAGTTTCCTTCAGGTTCTTCTTACTGGAGACAGTTACTCTTATAATTTAGAAAAATATATGTCTGTTTAAATATTGCTCTATATTAAAGGCTGCTTAAGCTGAAGTGCTGCTTTCTTCCTTGTAATTTGTATGCTTCTAAGTATATGTCTAAATAAATTGTATGCCTATCAAAGACTGGAAAAATGGAGTGCCAGAACAGCTGATTCTTCAAGGCAGTCTCCAGTGTCTTTCTCTTTGCTATAATTAATCCTCTTCTTGAACATGTAAAATTCTGTCTAAAATATAAGATAGCAAGAGGCAGTCTATTTGCAAAACATGGCTTCAGATCATCCCCTTTACTCGGGCACTTTTAAATGCTTACGTTACACTTCAGATGGAGGTGCCCTTTCATTGACTTCCTTGCAGCTGTTGCGTCTAATTCTGCTAAGAAATTTGAATTTGAATTTGAACCCTGAAGCAAGGTTCATGAAAGACTATATGCGAGCGGTAAAGGCCGTTGGGCATGATTGGCTGTGGGTTATGTTCAAGCTCAAGCAGACACTCAGTTATCAAAAAGGTTCTAATAATAATACCTATGAACACAGTGATAAGTGGTTGCCTGGGTTTCAAGCCAGGCAACACGACAACCCAGTAATTAGTTGTCCCTTCATGCTGGGAATATTGGCATCGGCTGTTACTCATTCTGTTGTCAAGGAGAATGTTGAAGACTTGTCTGCACGTAGTATATTTAGACTAGGCTTTTTTTCCTGTATGTATGTTACTTAAGGACCTTCAGGTGTTCTTGTTTAATCTTCCTGTCTGATGGCAGAAAGAAAAGAGAGTTCATCTGTGCTTTATCGGTATATTTTCAGCCAACACAGTAAATGAGGTATTAGGAAAAGCCTGTAAAACCTAACTTTTTCAAAAGAAAGATATAAAACCTTTGGGGAAGAAAACTGGATTTTTCTTAAACACTAACTTCTTTTTTTGGTTGGAAGGACACTTACTTCCCTTTTTTGTACAGGTTAAGGAGACAAGAAAAGCAGTCAGGGATTCTGAAAGTGGACTGGAGAAAATGGCTATTGGTCATCATATTCATGATCGTGCTCATGTCATTAAAAAATCAAAGAACAGGAAGACTGGTGATGAAGAAATGAACCAAGAATTCATCAACCTGGATGAAAGTATTGTCTTTATGCAGTTCTCTAACGGGCTTTACACTGTTGTTTCACGTACAGATTTTGAAGTTGCAACTTGAGACATCTTAAAGGGACTCTTTCAGACAGTCTGAAAGTCTGCAAATCAAGTTTCTGTAGTTGGTAGAAATTTGGACAACCTAAGTTAAAGTAACCAGTTAGACTTGAACGCGTTGTGTTATAATGCAGTTGGTACTGGGTTTTTTGTACAATAGCTGCTCATATTTGAGAGTACTTTTAATGATATTTCATGGTTTCAAACAAATTTTTAACAGGATTTTACTATGTGCTCTATGGGTGTTTGTGGCTAACATAAAATATATGTTTAAGAGATGTGTTGTTAAAATGTGCATATACTTTTACAACGCAATGACTTTCAGGTTTTTTTAATTTTTATCTTCCAAACATAAGCCTACTGGCAGTGAGCTTTTAGTTGTCTTTTATGATTACCCTAGAAATAGTTTGCAGGCCATGTGAAGAGTCATGGACCACAAGTTTAAAAAACACTGCTCAAAAAACCTAATTTTCATTTCATGTTTTTTTTCTATCTTGCTTGCATTTATTAAAAATAAAAGTGAACTTCAACTGTTTTTCAGCTGAGGCCCAGACCTTTGATGAAGAGTGGCAGAAAGAGATTATGAAGTTCAAGCCATCTAGAACTAGATGCAATTTAGAAGCTCCAAAGTACCGAAGTATTCATCACATACCCAAGGAAGATGGATCAAGAAGGTAAAAATAGTTTCTTACCAGAATAAGGAAATACTTGCAACAGAATGAAAATTAAATTCCGAAGCAATCTGTTTATGAACAAACAATGCTTACCGGCAATCTGAGGAGAGATAACATGTTTTATTCCTTCTTTTCTCATGATGCCACAATAAACAGTGTAAGGCAGTATTTTATCAAGTAAATTTTGAAGAAAGTCAGTATTTTTGACTTTGAAAATTACTTAATGAATTGATAGGCTAAAATGGTGAGTGATTTTTCTAAAGAAATACGCCAGTGATCTTAGCTCAGCTATGTACAAATGTTGTAGGTCCCCTCACAGTCACTAAATTGGTTTAATTGCATGAAGGTATAATCCTTGTTGAGGGCTCGGTTGATCTATTCTCTTGGGTAAAAGGAAAGACACCTTCCATATAGTTGCAGACAGACATGACCCTCTCTTCAGGGTTAGATTTCAAATGGGATCTCTTCGAATCTGAAGATCAGGAATTCTGTGTAGGAACGAGGACTTTATCTGTAAGTGCAGGAGCTCCCCTATGTAGACTGCTATCTACCAAGCTTTGAGGTTTGGGTTTTTTTCTTCCTCTCTTATTGACATAGTTTCAGTGGAAGTTGTGATGTCTTTATTGGTTGCACATTTGGTAGTGAGTGCTACAGAAGGGAAACGCTCCTCTTTTGTAAACTACACAGAGCACTTTCCCTCTGGTGCCTCTTCAGTTGTAGAGGTTTATTACAGAGGCTTTACTTTAAATTTCAGTTTTCAAACTAAGCTGATTGTTCCTTCTCATCCAGTGTGCAAGATGTGGAAACAGTCCAACTCTATGCTGGTACCAATAGAGGTAGTTTTAGAGGGAGAGTCAAATCTGTTTTACAACTAAAATAACTACACCTCCACATAAGTAACTAACAAAATGCGTATTCCCCCATCCCTATATCGTATGGTGGTTGTGATTGTTGTTGTTTGTTTCAGAGAGAAACCACTTGCGGTTGCAGGTTCCAGGGAGCCCAGAGCTTCTTTGGAGAATCTCAATGTGAAGGGAACACATGTCCCCATCAAAAGCAGCAAAAAATAAATTGCTTCCATTCTCCATTTGGATGGAGTTTCTTCAGAGGAGATAATGGTGCTGCATTGCTTATGTTCATATAAGTATACACGTATATATGACCAATCTCTGTTTGTTGTTTTAGTTAAGTAATAGCGTGCCTTCCTACTTCGATCTTTTGACAACTGAATGTTCTTTAAAAGTTCAGATCCTTGATTAAACCATCTAGTTTTCAGTAAATTAAAAACTGACAAACTTCCACTTAAAAGCACTTTAATGGACTATCAACTAATTCTGTTTAAAAAAAAAAATTAATACTTTTATTTGCAAGATTTTTCTAGTACAATTGCACCAGTCTCAAATGTTTTATGAAGCCTGGTAATGAAACTACTTTCTCCTCGCACTATAACTTCCACGGAAAGTAAATTTTCTTAATTTCTTTTAATTAACTTTCTAGGTTATACAGCAATTAATAGCAATTTGAATACACTATAGCCACTATATATCTCTCTCTTTTAAAATCACATTGTAAATTGTTATAGAATTCCCAGATTCACCTTGATTTTAATACAAAGACAAGTGAGAGGAATACTAAAGTGACAAATACTTCAAGTAAATTTTCATTTATCGTCATTCTTATGTTCATAAGCTGTGCTTGCATCTCTTATTTTCTGTGCCTGGACCGTCAGTTTTGTGTTGCTGATCCTTGGTATGTTTCCTTTGGCGGTGGCCCATTATTTTTCATTCATCAAGATTCTCTGTAGTAGCTTTTAATTATTTTGTAATAATACCACTGTGTCCTAAGAAACTCAGCTGTAACTATTAGGTTTTAATCAGAAAAATACGTGGGAGAATATTAGTTGAGTGGGCGGTAGTTTAACTGGATAAGGAATGATTGCACCATTTCTTCTGAATATTAACTGGATAAGAAATGATTGCACCATTTCTAAAAAGCTGAAAGAGTCCCGCGTACAGGAAAGCATTTCCCCCCTCAACTGAGATGAGATGCGTTTGTAAATCTGACACTTGGTCTCCCTTGACCTCGTTGTTGTTGTTTGGTTAAAGAGTGTGCTGTTCTAGAGGAAAGCCAACTGCGTGACCGAGAACAGAAAAGGTCTTTGTATTACAAGCGTTAAGTTTGTGTGCTGTTTTGTTATGCAGAATTGGTCCCCATGTCGTAGCGTAAATAACTTCTGTAGACTATAACATATAGCATTAGCACTATAGCATATATTTCAAAGTTAAAACACTAGCGTAGCCTTAAAAAAAGGCACTATTTATATGATAAAAGAAAATAGGTTTAGTAAGTTAAGATTAATATTTGTTTGGCCAAAAAGGAAATGGCCTTTAAATCATATCTTTCTGCAGATTCCCCAGATTATTTAATTCCGTGTTTCTTAATGTGCAAAAATAATCAAAAGTACTTTTGTTGAACTCTGACAAGGGGAAGATGATTGTTTCTTTGCTTGTTAAATGCAATGGTGGTCTCCTGGTGTTGGAGCAAATCCGAGAGGCAGCGAGTTTATGCTGCTGACCCACCCTACCAGCAGCCGAGCTCAGCGGGCGGTAGGGGGGCAGCAACCCCTGCCAGACGGACGGGCTGAAGGGGTGCGATATCGGAGTCAACCTTGCCAGAACCCGGAATCTAAGGGACACTTTTACTCCTTAAAAAGTAAGAGTACAGCTCTAGAGCCTGATCTTCCTTATGCTGAAGACAACATTGATTTTGTAATTCATGTCATTGGGAATATAAGGCCGTGGAGACGTTTCCCAGGTATGTCACTTAGATTTCCCTGTAACAAACAGCAGGAAAGTTTTTTCATGTGGCAACTGCAAAAGAAATGTTTGATTGGAGAGACACTGCTATTTAACAGAAAATAGTATTCATCTGACAACTGATACTTTTGTCTATGCTTTACTGAGACAAACATGATACATATATGTATTTACTAAAAAAAGTACATACTATGGTTTTAAAATTATAGTGGAAAGAGGCTAATATTCATTACAGATTACTTTGTTATGCAAAAAAAGTTCTAAAATGCAATGCGAAAGAAATTGTTATACATAGAAGCATCTGAAACTATAATTCTTTAATAAAGTTATTTATTATTTATGGTTATTGTTTGACTTACTCTACACCACAAAACGACTTGTGCTTCATTTATTTTGGGCTGTTTTGAAACATTCTTATATGGGAAACCAACAGCAATGCAATGAGGGAAAGTATGCCCCTCAGTTTCCAGAAGAAAAACATATATTTACTGGGTGGGGAAAAAAAAAAAGTTTGCTAGAAGGAAGCAGATGGGGGTTGGGACTTGAGTCTGGCTGTTTCTCTGCTTTGGAACTGGTCTTGGAGTCTTCTCGTCTTCTCTGGTGTGGAAGACCAACTGTTCCTGGTGTAATCCTAACAGTGGTGGATTTTTTTTAATTTTTTTTTTTTTTATATTTGAGAAACTATGTATACACTATAGCTTCCTTGAGCTATGACATGAACTTTAGTATGCCATCTATTCAACAGCTATCGCACATGTGCTCTTGATACGAAGTGTGAGAATTTCATCTTTCATTATGGTGTTTATTAGAGGGAAGCCCCACACAGTTAACTGCATCAAAGAGCTGGGATGTACTGTTGGCACATCTGTAACGCTGACTTAATTGACACTTTCTTGCTATTACAACAGTCAGTGTTGTAAACTGGTACCTGTGCTCCACCCAGCATCTTCCCGCAAATCACGAGACTATTTTTCATGCAGTGCTGCCATACAGTTGTTTTGATGGGGAGCCCAGCTCTGGATTTGATACCGCAGACTGGCCAAACTGCTTTTTTGGTACAATCGGCTAATCTTATTTTGCAGTTACAGCACCACTCTGATGATTCAACCCCTGGTATCAATATAGGCTGGGCAGAGAATGGACGGAGAGCAGCCCTGAGGAGAAGGACCTGGGGCTGCTGGTGCATGGGAAGCTCAATGTGAGCCAACAATGTGCGCCGGCAGCCCAGCGAGCCCCCGGCATCCCGGGCTGCATCCCCAGCACGTGGCCAGCAGGGCGAGGGGGGACTGTGCCCCTCTGCTGCGCTCTGCTCTGGGGAGACCCCCCTGCAGTGCTGCCTCCAGCTCGGGGGGTCCCACCAGCAGAAGGAGACGGAGCTGTTGGAGCGGGGCCAGAGGAGGCCCCGGAGATGCTGGGAGGGCTGGAGCCCCTCTGCTGGGAGGACAGGCTGGGAGAGGTGGGGGGGTTCAGCCTGGAGAAGAGAAGGCCAAAAAGGGGAGACCTCAGAGCCCCTTCCAGTGCCTAAAGGGGCTCCGGGAGAGCTGGGG